AATATTTTTCCAAGTGGGTTAGAAGGAAGTCGGTCATCAGGACAGCTGATGCTCTATTTAAGCTCAGGGTAGGATTGTCTTCCCAGAACTGCACCTGGCACTTCCCCTAATACTTCATTGGTAGTCAGCAGATGGGCTTTTGGACGATGAGGAAAGGCTGTATCCACATGAACACACCTCTGTGTTTCTTAAACGGAAATCACTGTTATGCTTCTATTGTCTCTTGTAAAGGCCTACCAGCCAGATATCTCTCTGGATTCAAAAATAATCCCTGGAGAGCATTTATGTTTTGCTTTGTTTTTTAAGTTCAGTATGTTACAATGAAAGGAATTCGGGATGTGAAGACAAAAACCCTAGATTTTAGTCTCTCGGGTAAGAGCTCATTAGATTTTTAATTTTGTGCAAGTTATTTCTTGACCTCCCTTAGCCTAAGTTTCCACATCTGAAAAAAGGGAAACATATCTATTTCATAGAGTTGTTGAGGTGATTAAATGATTTGCACAGATGCTGAACACACTAGATGTACATGAATGAATGTCACCTCCTCCCCCCCATGCTCTTCCCCTGTTGTTAGACACGTCTGTGTAGCATGTCCTAGTTCTACATTTGCTTGGGCACCTAGGAAGCTTAGAGCTGTTTTGTGCTTACTCGCAATAGCTTTCTTATTTTCTCATCCTTTCTCTTTAGTACTCCTTATTTTAGTTTTTAGCATTTTTATCTGTTTTAATTGTGTTATTGTAAAGTACTTTAATTCAAGTTTTGAAGTTGGTAACTTATAAAACCATTTGTTTTGTGTAAATATTCACATAAAAATATATTGCAGCAGCATATGATATATATTCCTTCATTACCTAATAAAAGACAAGGAGAAGGCAGGTAAGCATCACTTTTCCTTTCTTCTTTCTGCTTCTCTCATTTGTACACAATAGCACTGTCTGAACCATACGAAAGAAGATATTGTCAGTGATGCGCAGGGATCTAGCTCAGATAGATTATAAAAACTTTCAGCCAGGTGTGGCGGCTATTGCCTGTTATCCCAGCACTTTGGGAGATGGAGATGAGAAGATTGCCTGAGCCCAGGGGTTCGAGACTAGTCTGGGAAACTTGGCAAGACCTTGTCTATTCTATGAAAATTCGCTGAGTGTGGTGGGCGCACCTGTGGTTCCCGCTACTTGAAAGACTGAAGTAGAAGGATCGCCTGGGCCAAGCAAGTCAAGGCAGAGGTGGCCACAAGTGTGCCAGTGCCCTCCAGCCTGGGCGACAGAGTGAGACTCTACTGCAAAAAAAAGCAAAAAACTTTCTGTCACCTCTGTGGGACTGGAAATGAAAATTTGGGATGAGGTGTAGTGGCACATTCCTTTCTCATGGTTATGATCAAGCTGTAAAGGAAACAGTATGAGGAAAAGTTTGAAAACAACTTTTGAGCCGGGCTCGGTGGCTCAGCCTGTAATCCTGCGCCTTTGGGAGGCTGAGGCGAGTGGATTGCCTGAGCCCGCAGGTTCGAGACCCACCTGAGCAGCAAGACCTCATCTCTAAAAATAAAAAAATCAGCTGGGCATGGTAGCGCATGCCTGTAATTCTGGCTACTTGGAAGGCTGAGGTGGAAGGACCGCCAGAGCCCAGCAGGTTGAGGCTGCGGTGGCCGGGAGTGGCCACTGCACTCCAGTCTGGGTGACTGGAGTGAGACTCCAACTCAAAAAAAAAAAGAAAAGAAAACAACTTTTGGTTTAAACATTATTAAAATTGGATTTGGAGGTTGTATGGATTTTTTTCAAATTGAATTTTGTCTTATCTAACTCTATTCTCTCTCCACACCATACACAAAGGCTTTCTTTTTGTGCAACACACTTAATTTAAAGTGGTTGTTGCAGTGTGTTTTCTGATTTAGCTGCATGTATCGACCAGGTGGACTTTTTCTGAGTTCTTGTTATTCTACCTGGGATTCCAGTTCCAAAATTCACTTGTTGAAACCTCGTTTATCCTTTAGGGTGTCACTGTTATTTAGGCCCATCACACATTTCAAAATTACAAAATTTCAGCTGCTTAGACAACCGTGAGTGTGTGTGTGTATATGCATATACATGTTCCTTGAGAGCATATATGTTTGTCTGTGTACACATATTTGTTTCAAAGAAAGTCTTTATTACTTTGAAAAATAGTTCAGTTCATAGGAAATTTCATCTACTTTTACAGTTCTGTGATCTGGCTGTTTCTGTGTTCATCCAGGACCCTTTGCTCAGTCACCAGGAAAAAAAGCATTCTTTCCTTGTATTTCCACCACACGGTGCTGTTTTAACCCTTGTCCTCTGCCCCATGATTCCTAAATGCTTGCTGCTGGATGTTATGGCCTTCAACAGTGTGTTTTAACCAGATAGCAAGGGCGATGTATTAATGCTGTCTGTACCCTGTGCTTTCTACACAACAAACTTATCAAACTGAACATGTCTACTTGGTTACTTTAACATTCTAAAGAGTTGTTTGTCCTATGATGTTTCTTAAGAATCAAGTCTTTTCACATATCTGTGGGCTACTTGTATGTCTTTTTGGCACGTTTGAGTTCCTTGTAGATTCTAGATGTTAGGCCTTGTCAGATTTACCATTGGCAAATATCTTTTCCCAGTCTGTGGGCTGTCTCCCCGCTCTCTTGATGGTTTCTTTGGCTTTTCAGAAGCTTGTCAGTTTGATGAGGTCCTCACTAATCATCAAAAAAGTGCAAATTGAAATTATACTGAGATAGCACCTAACTCCAGTCAGGTTGGCCATCATCAATAACTCAAAAAACCACAGATGCTAGAGAGGGTGCGGGGAAAAGAGAACCCTTCTATGTTTTGGTGGGAGTGTAAACTAGTCCAACCTCTGTGAAAAACAGTTTGGTGATTCCTAAAAGATATAAAAATCGACCTTCCATACTACTCTGCAATCCCCCTACTGGGAATATACCTGGAAGAACTCAAATCACTCTGTGAAAAAGACACTTGCACATATATGTTTATTGCAGCATTGTTCACAATAGCAAAAACATGGAACCAACCATGCTGCCCATCGAAAGAGGACTGGATAAAAAAAAAAATGTGGGGCATATACACGATGGAATATTATGCAGCCATAAAGAAGGACAAAATTATGAACTTTGCAGCAACTTGGATGGACTTAGAGTCTATAATACTGAGTGATCTATCACAGAATCAAAGACTGAGTACCACATGTTCTCACTCATAAGCAGACCTTGAACAATTATCATAATACCATAAGAAAGGGATTGGCAGTAGTTGGGAATTGGGGGGGTAGGGGAGCACACCTCATCAACAAGGGTACCTGCATAATGAACATTTGTTTACCTAACCCAGAATTGTATCCTACATCTTCAAAAAAAACAAACAAACAAATTAATTCTACAGACTGAAGACTGAGGAAATTTGGCATGAAAAATACTGTTAGTAGGGAATGGGGACTTAAAAATGAAATATGTGTTGATTTTTTTTTTTTTTTTTTTTGCAGGATTTATTGAGAGGACAGAAAAGCTCCCACGGTGGGAGGGGACCCCAGAGGGTTGCCCCATGTTGTATGTTTTAAAGGAAAAAAAATAGTCAAGAATCTTCCTTTATAGGAATAATACTGTTTGTTCTTATTACTATACTGTTAGGTCTGGTTTGCGATCTGGTGCCGCACAGTAGGGGAGGTGGCCAAAGCTTGGGGAAACGTGGTGGCCACATCTCTAAGAGCCACGTGGCTGGACCAGAGTTTAGCAAAGCAATGACCAGTGGCTGCTTGAGGTTGAATGCTCTTAAACCTTCTCTTTGATGGGTGCAGTCATTAAGGTGACTGGGTGGTGGTCTGTTTCACATCATCACAAAGGGAACAGGTAAGCACAGGTGCTGATGTTAGGTGATGAATGGCAGGCAGATGGGTGGGTTAGTCACATGACCGTTGCCAAGGTGATGAGGTCTATGTCAAAAAGGTCATGAAGAGCTGCTTAGGTTAACCTTATTCCCAAAACAAGCTGGGGAGGGCATTGTAAAACCATTACTAGTAGCTTCCTCTGAGAAACTGGTTCTGTCCTTGATCAGAGGGTGACTTAAAGTGTACTGGTAGGAAAACATGAAAAAGCTTAGCAGTGTTAAAATGGCTGCCTTTTGGCTACATTGATTCCATCTTATGTTCTTTCACGTGTTATGTGGAAAAAATAGGGAAAACCAAAGTGGAGAAAAACTTCATCAGTTTATGAAGAATTGGTAAAGGAGTTCTTGTCTTCTCTTTCTAACCCAAAATTTAAAAAAAAAATTATTTTGTTTTTTTGAGTCAGGGTCTCACTCTGTTGGAATGCAGTTGGAATGCAGTGGCAAGATCATGGCTCACTGCAGCCTCCAGCTCCTGCCCTCAAGCAATCCTTTTGTGCCAGTCTCCCAAGTAGCTGGGACTACAGGCATGTGTCACCACGCCTGGCGGAATTTTTAATTTTTTGTAGAGACGAGGTCTCGCTCTGCTGCCCAGGCTGGTCTTGAACTCAATTCTCCCTCCTCTGCCTCCCAAAGTACTGGGATTACAGGCATGAGCCACCACGCCTAGCCTGGATCTGATTTTTGATGTGTACTTCATATGAAGACTTTAAAGGCTTACGAATTTTTAGTGACTGAGAACAAATTGGTTGAAAACGGGTACATGTTTCTATCCTATAAAAATCATCTAGTAAGTACAAGATGAAGTACTTGTAAGTGGCTGAAAATGTATAATGCAGGAGCTGTTGGTGAACATCTTTTCCTCTGCATAATGATGGACTTCTGTTATGTGCAAGTATCTGAGATAAAACAGTATCAGCTAATTTTATCACCTACATGTCTGACTAGCTTCCAGTACTTGAGGCAGAAATGAGGGTTTTGAAGACGTTGAGAATCTTTCATAGCTTTGTTTTAAAACGTTTTGTCTGAGATAAATTTTGTTTAAAGATGTGCAAATGCATATATAGCATGCTTGACTTTTATTGCTTGTTTTTAAAATTATAGCCAGAGGTTAGAAATCAGAGCCCAAGTTGCAGATGCCTTCTTATCCAAGTTCCAGCTGACTTCTGACGAAATGAGTCTGCTCCGAGGTACAAGGGAAGGACCCATCACCGAGGTAGTCTTGCTTTCTGTTACAGTCATTTAAAGTGCAATTGTTTCAGGTGTCATAGAGAAATTGCTTTCTTAAAGCCTTATTTTCCCACTTAAAAAATTTTCATCTGAAAATACTTTTAAATTTAGAAATTAAGAGGAAGTAATTTTAATTACTTTTTATTTTCTGTTTTTATAAAGTAATACATGCACTTCTTAAAAGTCAAAGACTACAACAGAACTTAGGAAGTTCATATCACCTCCTCCTCTCCTTCTCCCAAGTCCTTTGTCATCCTTTACAACCTTATGAATTGCTTTTCTATATTTTAGGCCTGTAGTTAAAAAGAATATGCTCTATTGATTTTCTGTCATGAAATATGAGGATTTGGCTTCCTGTCACCTCTGTTTCCTCCCCTTTTTTCAAACAATACAGACATTTGCTTTCTCTTCTGTCTCCTTCACACCAACAGTACAGTTATACCACATTTTCTGTTTTTCTTTCTTTTTTTTTTTTTTAAGAGTCTCACTCTGTTGCCCAGGCTGGAGTACAGTGGCATGTTCACGGCCACCTCAGCCTTGACGTGCTACTGGGCTCAAGTGATACTTCTGCCTCAGTCGTCCAAGTAGCTGGAAACACAGGTGCGGCCACCACACCTGGCTAGTTTTTTGATTTTTTGAAGAGATGAGGTCTCGCCATGCTGCCCAGGCTGGTCTTGAACCCGTGGGCTCAGGCAGTCCTCTTGCCTGTGCTTCCCAAAGTGCTGGGATTACAGGCATGAGCCACTGCACCTGGCTCACATTTTCTGTTTTCATTATGATATTATGTTGGCTATGAGTCCTTTTTTATACAACTTTTTGCTTTTTCTGGAATTGGAAATTGCTTATCTTTTCATTTAATTAATTTTTATAGCTATGCCTTTCTTTCTAAACTGACAGAGCTATTAAACCTCTCAAAATGCCAAACAAGAAAAAGTTTTATTCTTTTTTTTCCTTGAAGACATTCAGTTTTCCCAGAAAGGGATCTTTGTGTCTCCTAATTGGGAGGAACTATAAACCTAAACTTCTTGTCATCATTCTGGGATCAGAGGGCAAGAGGGTTCTCAAGGTGGGGAGGGATCTTTTCATGTGTACTATCTAGGCTAGAATGGGACCAATTATTTGAGTAGAAAGGGGTGAGTAGGCAAGATACTTGCTTATTAGTATATATCGACCTTGTGTTTTAAGAACTTTGTACATTCTAAATATTTGAAATATTATTTCTTCTCTACTTGGCAAAAATAGTAAACAGTATTAGAGAAGGAGGAATTTTTTTTTTTTTTACTTATCAAAGAAAAATAACACATTCCTTATTTTAATGGGCAGAATACTATTAGTGGCCTTGAGGAAACTAAGGCTCCAATACGTTTTTCTGCAGGAAAGAAAACCAGCCATCAGTTTGACTTTCATCAGATTTATGTGTTCATGTTTATGTGTTTGTCTTTGCATTCTGCTCTTGGATGATGGGCAAGACCAGGTTATATAACAGATCTATAAAGCATCTCTTCAGCAAATAAGAATGCCATGCTTAAGTCATAAGATGTATAATATAGAGTTGTTTTTCTATATGTAGAAATCTTTAGGTTTGCATTTCTCTCTCAATAGATTGTGCTGCTTGAGGACAGGAATTTTTTGACTTTTACATTTTGTATTCCTGGCACCTAGCACACTATTTGGCACATAGTGGGCATCGGGTTAATATGTGTTTTTAAATGTGAATGAATACCTGTTACACCTTCTATAGAAATTTAGAAAAAGTTGAGATCAGTATAGGAAGGCTTCATTCGAATAGGCGAAAGAATGTGTTTGCACTTTGTGGTGATCTTTCAGTTTTGAAATGTAATTTTAACTGAAAGTGTGGACATAACGTCACATTCTTGATTTTAAAGGATTTCTTCAAGGCACTGGGAAGAGTGAAACAGATTCATAATGATGTCAAAGTTCTCCTGCGTACAAACCAGCAGACAGCGGGGTGAGTAGCTGCTCGTTGAACCAGTTGTATTGCTGCTACAATTCTAAAACTTTAAAGACATTTTAGATTATCTTTGAAACTATATGACATTTTATGAAATAGGAATTTAATCTTTATCTATCTTTGGAAAAAGGTGAAGTTATGTCCTTACATGCTTCTCTGCCATGTTTAGACTAAAAAAACGACAGTGATAAGTGATAGTGTTAACATTTGACATTCATTTGATTATAAAATATTATTTTAAAATTGTTTCATAAAATAATAAAAGGTTAATATGCTGTGGTCAGATCATTCTGTAATTAAAGAAAATAATGAGGTGCTTAGATGTAGCTTTTTTAAATTATAATAAGTCTTTTACTTTATTTCTTTTTTAGTTTAGAAATTATGGAACAGATGGCCTTGCTTCAAGAAACAGCTTATGAAAGACTTTACCGGTGGGCTCAAAGTAAGTGATTTCTTCCATGTTGTCTAGATTCATGAATATTTGTGCTTGATTTTAAAATTTCACTTGGTCTTTATTTGATAAGTTTTAATTTTAGTATTCAAAAATATTTTTTAGCCGGTCTCGGTGGCTCAGCCTGTAATCCTGCGCCTTTGGGAGGCTGAGGTATGTGGATTGCCTGAGTTTGAGACCCGCCAGGGCAGGCGAGACCTCATCTCTACAATGAATCAAAAAATTAGCCGGGCGTGGTAGCACGCGCCTGTAATTCCGGCTACTCGGAAGGCTGAGGTGGAAGGATCGCTGGAGCCCAGCAGGTTGAGGCTGCGGTGCCCGGGAGCGGCCACTGCACTCCAGTCTGGACAACAGAGTGAGACTTCAACTCAAAAAAAAAAAAAAAAATTCTTTTTAAAGTTAGGATTTGATTTTTAACATTTTACTGGATCTCTGATATGATTTTAGTACTATTTTGTTTTATTAATTTAATTTAATTTTAATTTTATTTTTTGAGTCAGGGTCTCACTATGTCACCCAGGTTTGAGTGCAGTAGCACGATCATGGCTCACTATAGCCTTAACCTCTTGGGCTCAGGCAATCCTGCTTGAGCCTCCGAGTAGCTGGGACTGTAGGCACGCACCACCATGCCTGGCTTATTTTTTGATTTTTTGTAGCTCACTATGTTGTGCAGGCTGGTCTTGAACTCCTGAACTCAAGCAGTCCTTTAATCTTGGCCTTCGAAAGTGCTGGGATTACAGGAGTGAGCCACCATGTTAGTCAGTAATCAAAAATATTTTTAAAAAGGAAAACAAACTTTATATTTGAACATATTGTCTTTGTGTTTGTATCACCAGCACCTACTATCAGCTACACAGCATGCTTGATTAAGGATAGAAATTTTAAAAATGACAATATATCTGCCCTAGGTTGTCTTAAAGTTGATTACATATGTATTGTTGTTTACATAACTGTAAAGTCATAAATGGTAATTAGTTTTTTACTGTTGCTGTAACAAATTGCCACAGATTTAGTGGCTTAAAGCAACACATGTTTATCATCTTGTGGTTCTGTAGGTCAGAAGTTAAACATGGCTCCTCCCGTGCTAAGATCATGATGTGGACAGGCTACCTTGGTTTTTGTAGGCTCTAGGGATAATCTGTTTCCTTGCTCATTCGGTTCATGGGCAGAGGACAGTTTCTCGGGTTTGCAGGATGGAGGTCTGAGTTTCCTTGCTGGCGGTCACTAAGGGCTTTTCCTAGTTTCTAGAGACTACTTGTGCCCCTGCCTCCTTCTGCACGGCCAACAATGGTGGGCCAGATGAGTCTCTCACCTTGAGGCTCTTCTGTCTCCCCTTCCTTCTTGTGTCTCTGACTAGCTCTTCTGCTGGCCTCCGCTTTTGTGAGGCTGGTGTGGTCACCGTGGACCCACTTGGGAAATCTGGAAAGTCTCCTTATTTTAAGGTCTATTATTTTAATTTTGTCTGCAGAGTTTCTTTTGCCACATAAGGTAACATATTCACAGATTCCAGGGACTAGGGTGTGGCCATCTTTGGAGGGCCATTATTTTGCCTACCACACGTGCTTTGTTTGCTTTAGTTTTGTTTTAAAGTGTTTCAATAGGTTGTTTGCAGAATAGCTTGTTAAAACTGTAGAAGAGAGTTAAAATATGCAAGGGTGGAACAGGAGCACGTGATATTTTGACAGGTTACCAACTGACTGTTGGAAGGAATTGGAATTAAATCCATTTAACCAGTTGACACCTGAACTTTCCTATGAAAACCTAATTCTTTGACCTGTTTGATTTACTCTTCATCTCTAAAGCTTGTTTGTTTTTCTTCCTCTCTGTTATGCTGTCTACTCCCACCTAGAGTGTTGTCTGACTTTTTTTCCTTGTGCCCAAATCCTACCTCAGCCTTCAAGGCAGCACTTAGGCCATCAGTCTTCCTGGAGGTCTCCAAGACTACATACAGTGAATCCCAGTGACTTCCTGGCTCTGAACAGTAGTCCCTGGAAATCTTTATTGAGCACTGAGGAGTGTGCTGCTCTGTTATCACTTCGTTTTTCTCATCTGTATCTTACGCCTCCAGTTAGTATTCTACTTTCTCAAAGGCAAGGAGCTTGCCTCAGATGTCTTTGTACACTTACAACATCTGACACATCGGTTCCAGACTGCTGTGGGCTTCTGTCTTCTGGGGACTGTGATCATTTTAAGATGTCTCTAATTCTATACATGTATGTTTTTTTGTTGTTGTTGTTGTTTTTGTTGTTTTCCAGCCAATGTATGCTAGGAAATATACTGCTAGTGTGAAGTCCTCATATACCAAGAGGTTCAGAATTTCTGATTAAGTTCTAAATTTTTTGAGCATAATAGGTATTTTTGTGCATTTTATAGATAAAAATAGAATAGTAAAATAAAGGAAATATTGGTGTAGAGATTAAGAGTTTAAAATGCAAATTACTTTGAAAGTATAATTTTATTACCATATGTCAGTTATCCATATTAACATTTTTTGCGAACTGCCTAAAGATTGTTTCTGAGGGAAGAAATTGATATTTTTAGTACTCCCCTCTCTTCACTTATATTGCCATGTGTCTGGCAGTTATCAGGAAATATTTGTTCTTTGATCGGTTTCTTCAAAACTAGTTTTTTGAGTAAAACATAGGTTTGATGTGTACCACATAGCCTATATGATCATTTAAAGCTTGAATGTTTAGTTTGGTTGACAGCATAAGCTAGTTTTTGTTGTTGTAATCTCTAGGTTCTTCTAAGCATTTTTTTCATGGGATATTTGCTGTAGAATTAAGACTCCTGGCATGCAACCTAATTTTAATGTAACAGAAATTTTAATATTAATTATTTTCAGATGAATGCAGAGCATTGACACAAGAATCATGTGACATATCTCCAGTATTAACTCAGGCAACGGAAGCCCTGCAGGACAGACCTGTCTTACATAAGTTGGTGACTTTTTCCTGCTTTTTTTGATAATTTACATGAATATTTAGTATTATCAAATTTATGTATAATAGTTTGAGTAACATTTTTCATAATTTGCAATGATGTTATCACCTCAAAATGAATGTGTGTCGTTGCATATCAGCTTATTTGAATATTACATGCTGTAGAAAACAATATGGAGAGGAAAACCAAGGTGTTCCTGTATCTAAACTCTTCTTGTTTGTATAGCGAGTAAGGGCTTTCCCCCAGTCTGTAGCTAAAGCTCCCATATTAACCTTTCCCTGGAGAAAAGGACATCTTATTGGTGCTGAGCAATAGATTCCCAGAGGTTAAAGACAATATTTAATACCAGGGTTCTATTAATAGGATTCAAGAAAAGAGAGTCTAGTCTTGACCCAGTATGTTATGCCAACCAAGAACTATGTGGTAATGCTTTTGGTAAGAATCCAGTGCATTTACAACTCGACATATATTATTTTGTATTTTAATTCTATTGCTTTATTTTTCATAAAATAAAAAGTAAATATATTTTTTTAAAACCTGGAGTAGTGTGAGAATAAGCTTTTTTTTTTTAAGTTTTCAAGGAAAGTTTATTTAGAAAGCAAATGAGAGAGAGAGAGAGAGAGAGAAAGAGAGAGAGAGAGAGAGAGAGAGAGAGAGAGATACCGAGACCTCCCCAAGGAGGGACCAAAGCTAAAGTTAAGGAAACATGGCGACCACTGAGAATAAGCTTTAGGTGGACTCAGAGTTGATGATAATTAAGTCTGGGGATGCTGATCCAAGGCTTGAGTCCTGCTCTGAATCATCCCTTTCAGATGCAGCTTACACTACTTTTGGAGGATTTCCCCATTGCTTTATGATTGGGACATTACTTAGCCTATAATCAGGTTATTAAACACAGATGCTGGTACACTATAAAACTCTGCTACTTACTGAGTACTTTGATGTGTTGAGCACTATCCTAAGTGCCAGAGACACAGCACCAGTGGAACGTTGCCCTCAAATGACTATTTTATGGAACTAGACATAAGCAAATGTGTTTTAATTGAGTATACCAAATGCCAGTCTAGGGGTCACGTCCCTGGTGCGGTGTGGCTCAAGTATTCTGGGTGGAGGAGGGAGATGAACATCAGTGAATGTTTCCCAAGGGAAGTAGGTATCCAGTGAATTCTGAAGGTCGAGTAGGCATTTTCCCAGAAGAGGGAGGACAGAACATTCCAGGTTGAGGAAGTGGCGGGTGTCAAGGGGGAGATTACAGCAGCACATGTACCTGGGGATATCAATTGCAAAAACTTGCCCTGCCCGTAAATTTGGTAGCAGGGAAGGGCCAGGTCATCATGGCCCCAAATGCTGTTCGTGTGCCCTTGGGAAGCCGATGCCCACTGTGGATCATCCCCTGAGCGGCTCACTTCTGCTTTGAAATGTGTTTTTCTTTTTCTTTTTTTTTTTGAGTTGCAGTCTTACTCAGTCGCTCAGACTGGAGTGCAGTGGCTGCTCCCGGCCACCGCAGCCTCGACCTGCTGGGCTCCGGCGATCCTTCCGCCTCAGCCTTCCAAGTAACCGGAATTACAGGCATGCGCTACCACGCCCGGCTGATTTTTTTGATTTATTGTAGAGATGAGGTCTCGCTGCCCAGGCGGGTCTTGAACCCGCGGGCTCAGGCAATCCACTCACCTCAGCCTCCCAAAGGCGCGGGATTACTGGCTGAGCCACCGAACCCAGCTTGAAATGTGTTTTTCACTGTAAGACATTGGCATCTTTTATTTTAGTACTTAAAACTTGTAGTGTTTGATGAAGTTTATGTTGTCTGTTGATTAGTACTTGTTCGCCAGGTTCATCTTTAGAAAAAAGCCTTTGTGCGGTTGGGCACCTGGCAAGGACATTTGACTCCTGCTGTAAATATGCTTTTCCTTAGTTGGGATTCTTGACCTGCACTTGGGAAGGAGCAGTACTGGGTAAAGGTTTAAGAAGTGGGATCTGAGTCATTTCCTGCCAGGTCCTTAAAGCCTCATAAGCTTCAGTTTCCATAGCCGCAAACTGAAGATAACAATAGGGCCTGGTTTACAGGGATGATGTGGAGATTAAGTTTGATTGCTCGCCTGAGGTGCTGAGTGTGTGTCACCAAATTTTGGATGTTATTTTCACTTTGAGAGAAGGTGAGTAGAAAGCTGTCAACTAAGGAGGGTTTTTTTTTTTTTTGAGTTGAAGTCTCACTCTGTCACCCATACTGGAGTTCAGTGGCCACTCCCAGCCACCGCACCCTCAACCTTCTGGGCTCTGTTGATCCTTCCCCCTCAGCCTTCCAAGTAGCTGGAACTACAGGCACGTGCTACTACGCCCGGCTAATTTTTGATTTATTGTAGAGATGAGGTCTTGCCAAGTTGCCCAGGCGGGTCTCGAACCTGCGGGCTCAGGCAATCCACTTACCTCAGCCTCCCAAAGGCGCGGGAATACAGGCTGAGCCACCGAGCCCAGCTAGGAGGGGTATTTAAGGCCTACATGGCAACCAGGGAAGATACATGGAAGACAAAGAGTGATGCTACAGCAGGGAGGCAGAGGAGGTCTCTCTGAAGGGCACATGTCGGGGAACGGGGCAGTAATGGCAAATTGGGAGACTTTAAGAGGCTTTGGAAGTTGAGTGAGGAAGTAAGTTTTTAAGACCAGATGATTGTGAGAAGATAAATGCTGAAAAAGAGAAAATCAGCCTTTCATTAAGTCATCATCTGTTTTTAAAGTGTTAGGAGCTTTCCTTAAATTTAGGAAAAACTTCATAGTGTAATCATGGTAACCACCAGATGGCACTCTATGAACTTTACAAGCAGTATGTAAAAACTTCACTGTTCATTGTGTCCCAGATGTGTATCATGTGCAAGAAAAATATCAACTATTGAAGTTCCTGGGGAAAGTTGTCATACTCAGTGTTTCTTACAGAGTATATATACAAATGCCATTGCATTACTGGCTTCAGAAATCAAGTACAGATTATGAGTGGAAGTGAAAAAACATTGATGATTTCTTCTTTCCTTTGGTAAACTTTCAATATATAAACTCTTTAAGAATGTAGCAATATTTACAATACTGGTTTTTCATCATTCTTTATGTATTTGCTGTATTCCAAAGAGAAGCTTTTATGTTATTCTTTTATCTTTTAGTTTGCTTTTTGAATAAAATGTTTCTTCTTTGCATTTGCTTTTTGACCAGATTTCTTAAAAAAACTGTAGCTAACCATAACTTTAAAAATGGGGGACTTTTAATTTTAGCTACAGGCATTTTAGAATATTTGCATAATGTGAGCACTCACCCTTACAAAGCTACATTTTGAATTTTTGATCACCGTTAGAAAAGAGTCTGATTTTGGTTAAAGAGGTTTTCTTCTGTCTCTGGGGTGGATGTTTCGTGTTTACAGATGTCATTGAGGGGTCTATGTGACTTATGCTTTTTTGCTTTAAATTATATTTGTTTTGTAGGAAAATTAACATTAATATTAATGTTTACTGATATTTCATGCTAATGAGCAGATATGTTGCCCAGGCTTGGTAATTTACCCCCATTTAAAACACCCATTTAAAACAGTAGATTCACTTGTTTCTGTTGTAACTGTGGTCCCAGTGGACAGTCCTAGAAATAAATTATGTTGTTTATTTTTACTGAAGTTAGAAGGTCTTGAGAGTGAGGATTAGTTTTATGTATTTAAAAAGTTAAAAGTACATACAGTTTTGCTGTGATAAGTGATTATCTTATCATAAGTTCATTATTTCATAGGATCCGGTGATCATTTGAAAGAAGGTATTCTTTGCAACTGATGGATTGGTAATTTAAAAGCATAAGAGAAAAAAAAACAGAAGTGAGCATTTTGGTTCTGATTTGTTTAAAAAATAGAAATTAAATGCAAGGCAGCTGTATAATTTAGCAAAATTTAGCTTAATGTCGCGCTATCCCTTTCCTGTACTAGTGTGTCACTGCAAGGAATCTCAAAGCCATTCCTTTTAATTTAAAACAAACACACAAAGAACCACAGTCTAGTTAATGGTAAACAGTCCTCAAAAACGATTCAGATTTCTAAAAATTTATAGCTATTTGCTACTTCTTCAGACTTACCATTTTATTTAGAAGTAATTCCTCTTTCAACTTTATTCTGTTTAAAAAATATATGGATTTTTCATCCAGTCAGCAACACATGAAAGAGAGCAGTGTAGTCTGAGAACTGGATTATTTTGGGAAGTTTTGGTAACTTCTGTTCATATATAGGTTAATGAACTGATTCTTAAATTTAGCCTGGTAGAATACTGTTTAGGTATTTAAAAGTTAATGAGTCTAGGATCTGCTGACATTAGGCTGCTAAAAAAATATTTTGTTTCCCTGTATGCTTTCAAAGTAGCACTTTCAGTTGGGGGATGGTGTGAGGAAGGGTCGTGATGATGGGAAGCAGGTGCTACATCTAGGCTAATAAATGGGCACTCTTGGCAGCTCCAAGACACCGTCGTCAATTGCACCCCAGATTGTCCTACTCCCCAGCACAAAACTGATCTTGCTACCAGTTCCCTCACCTTTGAAAGCCTCCCCCCCTACTTTCAGTTATAATAGGTGACTTCTGAAGATATGGCTTTTAAAATAATGTATTTGCTGTGTGTGCATGTTTGGTCAGAAAATCTACCGTCCAGTATGTCCAATATTTGAGTCAAAGTAATTTACTTTTTAAAAAATAAGTAGGGGTTTTTGGGGCAAATTTTGGTGGTAGTTGTGATAGTATGTGTGAAAGAGAAATTTTTTAACGTAGAAGAAAAAGTCTTAATTTTTAGATTGCAGAGTTCTAATCCTGGCCAGTTTATGAGAAGCGGGTATTATGGCTTTATGTAAAACAGTAGAACATCATGACTGCAGATACACTGAGAACTGCTGAGTTGGGGCTTACCCCTTGGCTTGACTGTCTTTTATTAAATCCATTGCTCTATCCTTTTTCCTGCTGCCCCAGTTTTAGTACCAAATCCCAGCATTCTTTCTTAGAAGGAGTACAAGTTTTTACTCTCAGATTGGATTTTCAGTATGCTGAAGTTATCTGATAAGTCTTTTTTCTTGTTTAAAAGGAATCTTGCTTGACAGTGCCTGGAGCTCTAGGTATCTTGCTTATCTCAGAAACTGCATTTGTCAGATGAAATGATTAAGAGAAGAAGTAACTACTGTTTTTTACACATAATTTGTTTCTTCTAGGTATACCTTAGATGAATTTGGAACAGCCAGAAGAAGTACAGTTGTCCGTGGATTTATTGATGCTCTCACAAGAGGAGGCCCAGGAGGTACACCGAGGCCTATTGAAATGCACTCCCATGACCCCTTGAGGTATAGTGAAAAGATGGCAGAGGGGATTTGGTGACTTTTGAAGGAAATCTTGATTAACATTTGGTTTGCGTTAGGTACGTGGGGGATATGTTGGCTTGGCTCCATCAAGCTGCTGCCTCTGAAAAGGAACACCTTGAAGCCCTCTTAAAGCATGTAAGCACACAAGGTGGGTCCATCGAGTGTCTTGTTGCCTAGATGCAGAGAGAACACAAGCTTCTCTGTTTATCGTGTTGTCGTCATCTTCATACCTCTCACCTAGGCGGTACAAGTGTTCTGATTCCTCTTCTCACTGCAGATTCTCCCTTATTCTGCTACTCAGCTTCATACTCAAATCACTTTCACCCCGTCACTCGACTGTCCAGTTTATACCAGACCCTGATGACCTTTTATATCCAGCCTACACTCCTCTGCTGCACTTTAAAGAAATTTCTGGAGTGTCTGTTATACATTATTCAGAACCTTAGCGTGACACCTGAAAAGTATAAGTGGTATCTTTATTTTATCTGTGAGTAAACAGGCTGAGTGATTTGCTTAAGGTGACTGAGCTATTTATTCTTTGATTTCTGCTGCCCAGCTCCCCCTTTTTTTTATTCCCATGGGACTTTTAAAGTTCCAAAAATAACTGTCATATGTACTAAATGTAGTTAAAATTTTTGTCTTGATTTCAAGGAAGAAAAATAACTATAGAGTTGTTAATGTCTTGTTTTTAGAAGTCGAGCTATTCTTAGTTGTGATTGCCTAAAGATATCTCAGTTTGAGAGCTTAGTGTGTGGTTAAAAGATGTTCTATTTTTGATAGCAAGTGAGGGGAAATACTGTGACCTGGTATCACTTGATTGTTTTGCGTACTCAGCCACACCTCACTGTGGTTCATCACGTTATCTGCAAGAGAGGCCAGTGTTACAAATTGATGGCAATTCTTAACCTTACAGTTTCTGACTCTTCAGTATTGAGATTAAAATCAGCAGGTATGTTTGATTGGCACAAAGTGCATTTTAAGATTTTCTTTCATTATTATTTTAATTACCCAGTATAAAAGAATGTTTCTTTAAAGATGTTTTAAAAAAGTACATATGAGAGGCAGAACGAACAGTAGGAAGCTGAAAGGAAACAGACTGGATTTAGACGAAATAGGCTAGTTTACAGAAATGACTTAAGTTTTCCGAGCTTGAGTTTTTCCATCCGTAAATATGAAGGTTACACGCAGTGAATGTCAGGTGATACATAGTTGATACATAGTTGATATTTAGAAAATGCTAGTTTTTCCATGATATTGCAAGGTATGTTTTTCATCTTGATGGCTTCAGCTTATGTGTGCAGCAGCACTGCCTGGGGAAAAGCATTTGTAAAACACATAATACATCTTCATATCACTTCCTTCAATTAGTAAATTCCATAGTCTTTTTTCCTCATACACAAAGAAATATTGTTCATTTTGTTCACTAAACAGTCAAATGAACGAACAAGACTTTTAGACATACATTAAATATTATTACAATTACTAATGTTTGAAAAGACGTCGAGCTTAACAAAATACTGTTATGGTCATTTTAAGTGTTATTAGTGCTATTAATCGTATATATTACTGTTAGTTTTTGAACTTATATGTAAAAAATGGAAAAGTATGGAAAAATGTTAATTGTGTAATCATTAATTTTAGGTGTTGAAGAAAATATTCAAGAAGTTGTTGGGCATATCACCGAGGGTGTGTGTAGGCCTCTGAAGGTAAAATGTTTTTAAAAATATACGCTATAAGACATCTGGTTAAACTATTGCCTTATTATTATGAATTTAAAGAAACTGATACTAGCTCAAACTCAGCCAGTTACTTTGTCAAGTAAATGCATTAATTTAGGCAATAAAGTACATTTAAAAATAATCATTGCCAGCTGGGCTCGGTGGCTCAGCCTGTAATCCCGCGCCTTTGGGAGGCTGAGGTGAGTGGATTGCCTGAGCCGCGGGTTCAAGACCCGCCTGGGCAACTTGATGAGACCTCATGTCTACAATAAATCAAAAAAAAAAATTAGCCGGGTGTGGTAGCGCGTGCCTGTAGTTCCTGCTACTTGGAAGGCTGAGGCGGAAGGATTGCCAGAGCCCAGCAGGTCGAGGCTGCAGTGGCCAGGAGTGGCCACTACACTCCAGTCTGGGCGACAGAGTGAGACTCCAACTCAAAAAAATAAATAAAAAAATAAAATAATAAAATAATCATTGCCAATTTTCTCCTGAGCATGAAAATTGGACATATTTTTGGTTTGCCTATGTTGACTTAGTTCTTATAGATTAGTTTCCCATAGTGACTTAATTTTAATCAATTGAGAACAAGTTTACTAAATTTAAATGGTGTGTATGAACTCTTGAGAGATTTACTAAGAGCATATCTCATTTACTTTATTGCTTCAAGCATAGTAAATTTTTTTGCCCCAGCTATAAAAAATGATTAATTGAAGGATAAAATAATGTATATCAGTATTACTAATACTGTTTGTAGTACAAGGGACAGAATTTGGAGTCAGACTTGAGTTAGAATTCCATTTTGCCACTTAATTGTGTTTACTTGTTCCCGTTGCTTAACTCTTCTGCACCCTCATTTGCTCACATTGAACTTGTAGGTAAAATACCCACTGTCCAGGGTTGTTGTGACGCCTAAATGAGGTAACTATGAAGGTGAAGTGCATAGCCCTGGCACTGAATAAGTCTTGCAACAGTGTTCTTTTCCTTGATTAACATTTATGGAATACCTGGCAGTTGGTAGTTTACTTTTCTTTGTGGATTGACTTCTATTTACCATATAGAAATTGAAATCCAGAAGTTTTATGGTGTATCCTTATCAAGAACTAAATTTTTGAACTATTTTTCTTTTATTTCTAAGATATTCTTTGGTATGTTGTCTAGGCAAGGAAATCTCAGATGACACACTTGTGACAATTTATTGTATTTACAAAGTTAATTATTATTATTATAACTTGATCTCTTAGGGTCCAATTGTTTAGTCAGTAAATAAATAGCAAAGTATTTTGAAAGTGTTTTACTTATTTCTCCTAAATGAAATATTTACTTGCCATAGTTTGATCTTTAGACATTTATGACCCACATAAAGTTTGCTTATTTTGAATATTGGTAGTATTGAAAAGATAAAAGAAGAAAAGGAAGAATAAAAATAAGATTATAAAGTTTATTTTTGGTCTGGTGCAGTGGCTCATGCCTGTAATCCCTGCACTGGGATTGAAGGTTGAAGGGAGGGAATCACTTGGATTCAGGAGTTTGTGACCAGCCTGGGTAACATATTGAGACCTTTTTTCTACAAAAAATGTGAGCCTGTAGTCCCAGCTACATGGGAGGCTGAGGTAGGAGGATTGCCTGAACCCAGGAGGTGTGGAGGCTGTGATGAACCATGATCCTGCCACCGTACTCCTGCCTGGGTGTCAGAGTGAAACCCTATCTCAAAAAATATATATATTTTTCTGCATTTTTCATACCTTTTTATAACTTTACATAGTTAAATGAAACTCCTGGTCACTTTGATAACTAAATTGTACTTTCTTGTCCTTACCTTTTTTTCCCCTACATCCTTACTTAGGGTATTATGTTTCTACACTTGATCTTAGCCAAAAGGCCGAGAAGCGATGGTATTACATTTCTTATTACAGTGCTTCTTTTTAAAAAACTAATTGTATAATGTGTTATAATTTTAGAATCTGCAGGTTGGAATAGGCCTTAGAGTTTCTAGTCTTGTTCTGAGTAAGAAATGTTAAAAATGTTTAAACAGGCCGGGCTCGGTGGCTCAGCCTGTAATCCCAGCACTTTGGGAGGCTGAGGCAAGTGAATTGCCTGAGCCCGGGGGTTTGAGAATAGCCTGGGCAACTTGGCAAGACCTTGTCTCTATAATAAATCAAAAAATAACTGAGTGTGGTAGTGCATGCATATAGTTCCGACTACTTGGAAGGCTGAGGCAGAAGGGTCGCGGGAGCCCAGCAGGTCAACCCTGGGGTAGCCGTGATTGTGCCACTGGACTCCAGCCTGGGCAGTGGAGTGAGACTCCAACTCAAAAAAAAAAAAAATATTTAAACAAACATCTGTTGCTTATATAATGACATTATGTACAGAAGTCTGTCTTTGTTTTAAAATGTACGTAGAAATTATCATTTCATCTTCCTTAAAATGTACATTCCCAGAAAGGTGCTTATAACAGTTGTAGGAAATTTTTGTGATCCTCTGGCAAATTTTAATGTAATTTTAATGACCAAAGGTAAAGAAGAAGCTAGTAAGCAAACAGTTATCTTTTTGTTGTAAAATGAAGAAAGTCCATTTAGTTTCTGAAATGACAGAAACTGTATGTCTTTCTGTATGATACTGATATTTATTGCACAACCCAGAGAATATTTGGTAGGTGTCCACAGTAGTTACACATCCAATTAACTGGATAGTGGTATATTATGTAATCCAACAACTCTCATGCCTTCCCTTTCTTCATATACTCACAGTGTCACACTATTTTAAGAATATTCTTTCTGGGTGACTTTATTTGGGTATCTGATATTTTCAGAGATATCATCAGCTGAGGAAAAAAAATCCTACTTTAATGTTTTCTTTTGCATAATTCTGTTTGTCTTAGTGATCTGTCTGCTTTTACATTTCATTAATGTAAAATTTCTTCTTCCTAATTAATAGGCAGCTAAATTTTTCCTAATGATATATGATCTTGGATGTTTTGGTTACTTTGGCCACCCATATTCTTGGTAGGAATGAATTCCTTTTAGGATGTGAGATTTTGATTTTTAGGAACAAAAGTTTATAGTGGTAATGGGAGATACCCTTGAGAAACAATATATCTAGTTTATTTTTTTGTAACAGTTTTTCTTTGACTTAGTAAAGTGAAACTTGATGGATAGTGGACTAAATATTTCTAAATGTGTGTATTAAGATAAGATCTTTAAACTTATCGCCAGTTTAAAAAGTCTATGCTTTAAGTTTAAAATGACATTTGTGTGTGGAGGGTACCACGGCTCATCAGCATCAAGCCTGTCACCTTGCACATTCTTCCTCCAGAGGTGCAGTTAGAAACTACAGAATTAATTTATTGACTTTGTTTTCAAACCCATGGGTGTAATGATCCTTCTTTTGTATGAATGTTTTAGATTGCTGACCTATTACCAGCTGTCATTTGAATTTATCCTTTTAATAGAAACTTGAGTGTATCGTCTGCTGCCCTTAGATTATGGTGGGCTCTATGGTGAAAGTAGCTACATGTAAGAGATAAATGTCACAGAACGTGAATTGCACAATAGGGTCATTGTGCCCTCAGTTTCGAGGTGTAGCTGGGAGCAGGTGTTTACCTGAGCGGCTGTCTGGGACATTAGGGGAAGGGAGGTCCTCGTGTCCTGGCCATCCTCCCTTCTCCCTGGGTACCTTCTCCATGAACACAAGCTCACCCGCCCTCCCTCTTGTGGCTCTGCTCTTGCTGTTGCTCCCTCTGGCCTTGGAGAGGAGAGTGCTGCTGACCTTCAGCTCGTCCCACCGTCTCTGCTGTCAGTGCCTGCACCCGCTCTGCTCCTTTTTATATCTGCCTTTGTCATGGGTGCCACTTCCAGCAGTGTGGTTAAGGTTGCTGAGTGCTTCTTGGTAGAGTCTGTTCTGCCCGCGTTGTGTCTGGGCCAACGTCGTTCCATGGCTGCTTTCTGACTCGGCTCAGGACGTTTCCCTCCACTATCGTGACTGTGGTCATTTCCAGTCCGTTGCTGCTGCCACCGTTTCCTCATTTTCTGACCCTTTTCACCTTTCAAGTTTTGTTTCTCCTGTCTCTTGTTTTTCCAGTGACTGTTGGCTTTTACTGAATATGGTTGGTCTCTTAGGTAGCCCTCAGCAGACAGTGTTGCCTTCTGTGTGGCGAAGCAGTCTTGTGCACCACATGCATGTCTCGCTTTCCAGCCTCTCTTGGTTGTGTCTGTGTCGGGGCTGTTGTGTTCTGAATTGCTGCTTTCCCTCAGAGCCTTTGTGTGTGTGGAGAGATGGGAATGGCCTTTTTGTTGCTTGCCTTCCCTCTTTCCCTTGGTCCCCCTTTCCCCCTCTTTTCTCACTTTCTTTCTTAAGGGAGTTAGACTTTAAATTCGGGTGCCATTTATGAGCTGTGGTATTGTGGTCATTAGATAGTCTGTTGCCTTATGTCAAAAGAAGAGTCAGCTTCACAAACATGTTAACGTGCAGGTAAATTAATTTCCATAATTTTTTGTATCCTGATGTGCATACATTTAGAGAATCTCACTCTAGCAGATCACATTTGTCGGTGTTATGACATGAGCTAAAATAAAACCTAAGTACAGAGAAACTTCAACTTTCAAAAGCAGTCGTGAAGGATCTGTTTTGTGTTTGTGCTATTCTGCCTGATGCTGCAGAGACGGAAAAGAAGCAGAAGATACAGTGTCCGTCCGGTGCTCATATTTTGAAGCTAGTTAGGAAAGCAAGGAGATACAACGTAAGGAGTAGCTTAAGGGCAGCTGCAGCACAGTATGTCAGAAAGCAGATATCAGTATGGTTTGGATTTGATTCACGAATGAGGGACTGTGATGGACGAGAAGAATCAGTGAGGAATGACATTTAATTAGAAAAGATTCATGATAAAAGAATCTTGAGGCAGATCAAGTTAATCCTGAACTGGAACTGATTTAGGCAAATATGTTGGGGCTAATTTAAGATTTGCCTGGTATTTTATTCTTTGATTAATAGACCAAGAAACTGGTAAAATAGTTTCAAGACAAGAATTTTTTTTTTCTTTCCTGTATATTTGGCAATAGAGTGGTATGTTTTCACAGATAATCTGTTTTGGGGATTGTAGTGGCTGCCTTCGCAATAGCATTGAATAAATTTCACTGCATACTGATGATAAACCTCAAAATGATCTCGTTTTATTGATGTTTCTGGTAATAACTGCCTTGAGTCAAATTCTGCAAATAATGGATCATTTTTCTTTGTAGAGTATATCTGTGTTAAAATGTTTTTACTATCTATGACTTAATGCTCATTATTTAAAGGTATTTTGTGAGCTCTGCAATAATAAAATTTTATCTTTAATTTTTATGCTATTTATACCACATTTCACTAATGAGGAAAGGTTATGCTTTTAAGAAATGTTCAATTTCTTTTCACATGTTTCAATAGGTTCGAATTGAGCAAGTAATAGTTGCTGAACCTGGGGCAGTTTTATTATATAAAATTTCTAATCTCCTCAAATTTTACCACCATACAATCAGGTAAGTGGAATGGTGAAGTTTGCTAACTCGCATGTCATCTCTCTTTTCAGCGTGCAGTTTTTGGTTTGTTTGTTTTCACTGTGTGTAGACTAGTATAAGTACTAGAAGCTCCACACCTTGTGAATCATTCTATGCAAATTATGCATGCTCTACCTGGAGGGTTCTCATTTCCATTCTTCTCCAAGCTTAACCCCCCCCCACATGCACTTATAACCCATAAAACAATATGAGTCTATAACCTAAGTGTTCACTGAGACTCCCTGAATCAGTAAGAGATCCATGTTGACTGAAGCCACTGTGTAATGTGCTCACGGAAGGACATGCTGATTGAAGTGTCCTGTTCAAAGGGTAGGGAACTTCAGTTCTTCTTTAGCAGTTAGTTTACTACAAGCGATGAAATGCAGCTGTAGCTGTATCTTCTCTACATAAAAGCAACTTTATCTGATTAGGAAACACTTGTCTTATCCAAACTGTGATCTTTGACTTTAAAATTTGCATCCTTTTGGCTTTGCATATATCTGTTGTTGTTATACATTTGAGCTATATTGTGACTGTCACCATAAGACTATGTTATACTTGTAGTTGTATTAAAACAATGTCCCTCCAAGCGGTATTTTTGGAATTTTCTACATTTCTACATTAAAATTTTATTTCAAAATTACTTGTTATCCAGTATGCCAGTATCAGGAGCAGCAGGTCAACTGTTAAAAGCTAAGAGGGTTATAACTAGCATCAAGGAGAGATTCAGGGCTCACTAGTTCACAGAGCACCAAAAGGCAGTGGTGAGATGATCACCTACCCCTCCATGACCAAGGACAGCTATCCAGAACTTCACAGCTAAGAAGTGGACTTTACAAGTTATCAGTAGGTTTTCAAACAAGACTAACAAGCCACAGGCTTCAAAACTGATCCTGTGGCTTGAGTTAGTCCTCTTAACATTTTAGTTATAAACTTATTATCATCATTCTCATAACTCAAAAAGAACACATTAGTTTCCATTGTAGTGTTATAAGATTCCTAAAGTAAGGGAATGATAAATACTTAGAAAGTACATGAGAGCTAAAAGCAGCTGGACATTGCAGATGCTGCGTTTTAAAAAGATTCTGATGAAATATTTTTAAAAATTGTTTATTTAGTAGTGTCCATGGTAGTACTACATGAAATTTATTACTTAAAGATAGTGATTATCTCAATTTCTATATAGAAAATGTTTAAAAAATCATTTAGAGTCCAAAGATGCTCGTTAAGTTTTTTTTTAGGTTCTGAGAATTATAATTTTTCTGACTATGAAGATGATGATGTTGACAATGACAGTTAAAATCTCTTGATTCACTTGCATGCACTTTTTCTACTTGTTCACACATTTACTTACTTAGTTTAAAAGTTGACTGTATTGTCACTCTTTCAGGAAACAGCAGGGAACAAAACAGAGCTTAATTTTACATTCTAATAGGGGAGACAAACAAGCATAAAATAATACTTTCAGATACCGATAAGGGCACTGAGAGACAGGAAGCAGGAGATGAGAAGTAGAAATTTTAGAGGAAATAACCATGTGTGGACGAGTATAAGTATATGTATGTGACTGGAGGCCTCTCGGTGGAGGTGATGTTTGTACAGAGACCTGGATAATGAGAAGGAGCTGGACGTGAGGAAGTCCTGGAGAGGAGAGTCCTAGATGGAAGTGCACTCTGGTCCTGAAGTGAGGAAAAGCTTGCATTTTGGAGAACTGGAAGGAAGACCAGTAGTATATGGAGTATAGTGAATTGGGAGGACTAGAGGGAGATGAACTCAGAAAGGTGGAGAGAGGCCAGGTCATACAGAACTTTGAAGGCCAAGGCCATGGTGAGGATTTAGAATTTATACCAACTGACTGGGCAGAGGGTGAGGGTTTTGAGTGACCTGAGTGGATTTGTGGTACAACGTTACTCTGCATGCTCTGTGAATCATGTAGTGTAGAGGGGCAAAAGGAGAGGTAAGGAAGGTATTTAGGAAGCAGTTCTGAGCAGAGGTGATGAATGATGAGTTAAACGAGAGCACTGGTCTTGGAGGTTGATTCTGGAGATAATTCATGTCATAGCCAACAGGACGTGTAGATGGACCAGAAAGAGTGGTGTGTGAGGAGTCAAGGTGAGTTCTTGGCTTTTGGTTTGATCACCTGGGTGAATGGTATTGCTTGCTGAGATGGGAGGCTGGGACAAACAGGTTGGGGGGTGGGTAATGGACAGCTCAGTTTGGGCCCTGTCAGATTGGATGCACCTGCAAATGTATATTTTGAATGAGCAGATGATACAGAGAGAGATGAGGGTTGAAGTTGCAAATGTGTTAGTTCTCAGTATATAGTTGAGATTTGAAGCCACGGGACTAATGAGACCACTTAAGGAACAAACGTAGATCAAGAATGGGGTTGAGGATGCAGTCTGGGGAAGCTCCAACATTCGGAGGTTGAGAAGAGGAGAAACCACCAAGAAGACTGGGAAGGAATCGCCAGTGAAGTTGGGGGAAAAACAAGAAACATGCAAGATCTCAAAAGGTTGACCTGCTATGCATTAAAACTTCAAAAAAAAGAGAGGTGGAGTCCTGGAAACAGGAGACCGAGCGTGCTTGGATTTCATATCCTTTCCTGTGAAGTTTTCTTCCTGGGAGTTCACAGTTTCTTTGTTTTTGTGCCTGTCTGCTTTTCTGTGTTCTCATCACTCTTTCAGACCCAAGCTGCTTAAGAGGCCTTGACGTTGTCTTGCCATACAACAGACGTGCCAAGTAATCTCTGTCTCCTGTGCCCTTTCCCGATCCTCCTCGGCACCTGTTCCCCTCCCGTGTCTGGACGGGCTGTTCTTGGGGCCACTGCGAGTGGCATGGCGGTCACACGGGGGCTGTTCTTCTTCACCGGCCAGCTCGCCCTGCTGTTTCGGATGTCCCTGATCCTTGGGGCAACTCTGAATAGTACTTGCATGCCTGTAGTGATGGGAGCACCGGGTCGCTGCTTACTGCCAGACCCCACGACTGTGACCGTAGCGAGAAGCTGGGAAGATGAAGCTGGCTGTAGTGGAGGAGCAGGAGACTTAAGCCAGAGAGCTGAGCCTCTCCTCAGGGCATTCACAGAAAAGGCCAGAACTGGGAAATCGGTTCAGGGCAGTTGAAGCATGTTGGGTGGAAATGTAGAAGGAAATGTTAGAAGAGGCGTCTTGAGGTATCTAGACCAGCTTCTGGTACCTGGTGAATGCTGTACCTGAATACTGCAAAGTACAACTGAAAACTCCAAATTTAAAAAAAAAGAATGTAAATGTATGTTGATATCTCTCTCTCCAGGTTTTTCATCAAATTGTTTGTTTCTATTTGCATTCATGTAATTTATTTTTGTTGCTTGATGTATGCTTTTATTCAGGGGAATACTTGTTTTTATTGCATGTACAGGCACGTGTGGGAATTCCTTCCAATTTATTTTGGTGTTTGGCTTCTAATATTTTTAACTGAAATAATTTTTGCTGCTTTTGAATATAAGATTTATGGCTTACCTGTTTACTAATTTGCTTATACTTTGCTGTTTGCTTTATACATATTTTTTACTGATAATTTGCTTTGCTTGCATGAACTCTATAAGAATTCATTCAATTTATTTTAGTTTTGGAATGTACTGAACTATGTATTATTAGTATTTGCTTTTATAATATGTCACATGTGGTTGATGATATATCAGTAAATTTGCTGTGTTTTTAGCGTACTGTTTACCAGTATTAATTAATGCCATTATATTTGTTATAGCATTATGAATTTTTTTAAAGCATAGTGAGATGTTATTATACCTTTAGAAGTTATGATTTATTATTGGATTACCATTATTATGATAACCTGGGATTGTCACATCCACAAAAAACTTCCCCTAAAAGATTTAAAAAATCACTTTCAGTATGTGAATTAAGAGAATAAAATTGGGAATAGTTTTATATACACACTTCTGTTAGATCCTGACAAAAATGGGAGACTTCATCTTGAACAATCCCTATACAGTAATATCAGTTTAAGGATTATGGAACATAATAATTAGTTATTTTAACATATTATCAGACTTTTATAGTTAGTCTAAGTATACTGCTATTTAGACAGCTGTATAAAAATTGAGAAACTTTGTAATTTATAGGTATGTTATTGATATGGTCTAACAGCTTTAAATAAAAGAATAAGTCAGTATTTATATAATTTAAATATTTTATTAATAAAATTATCGATGGACTGTTCTTTATAAAATTCAAATTGATCTTCTTGGATAATCAAGATAAGCATTTATGTGGTAGAGGAAAAATAGAGATATGAGTTTACATATTGCAGATGTCTATTTTAACCCACAATTTTGCTGAAAGAGATTGTGAAATATTGAAAATATAGTAGTTTGTTCTCAGTTTTTCATCACCTAACTCAAAAGAAAAAAGATTGTGACATTTTTGTATTAAATCAGAGTAACTATTTTTAATTCACCAATTGTATTCTATATTTTATTTAAATCTAGATCTTTAAAAATTATTATAATAAGTTAAATAACTGAATTGTTTCCATGTCTGTGTTGCAACCTGAAATATTCTTTGCTTTTAGTGGCATTGTTGGAAATAGTGCAACTACATTGTTGACTACCATTGAAGAAATGCATTTGCTGAGCAAAAAAATATTCTTCAATAGCTTGAGTCTTCATGCAAGTAAATTGATGGACAAGGTAGGTTTAAAATATGTCATCCTTAAATTATGTGAATGTGAATCATTCACATTTAAAGATGGTGTTTTAATACTGGTTGGTGATTTTTTTCCCCCCATTTCATACCGTGTTCTTTGGAGTTCTTTCTATGAACAACAAACTTCAATTTGAGATGACTTTCTGGACCTACGTCTATAGCCCGTGTTCCTGAAATACTGTCACACTGAGTCATAATTGGAGATACCATTTTTTTCTGTAAACAAAAATGTGTAACTAAAGCACACTTCCTATATCTAGGTGGGAGCTAAGAGGACAAACAGATTGGAAAACTGGAACTCTGATAAAATGATTTTTTCCAAAATAGTTTGTCTTTATGAAATTTATGCTCCTCTAAGTTATATGTTATAATTTTTTATGAAAACAAACGGGAAAAAAATACCCCACAAAAAAACAAATAAGAAAAACCTGAAAGAGTCCTGTAACGTCTAATATTTTGTTTTATTTTTCTTCATTCTAATCCTTACATTAAGATCTAATATTTTAAATTGAGCGGAGTTTTGAGACAGGATCTTAAGGAATGAATTTGCAGCGATCAACTCCTTTATTTTTGTTTCTTCATTAAGGACACAAGTTTCTCAGGGCTGCATCACCATCACCATACTGGCTTTTAAAAATTGTAGCGCTTTATCTCAGACGTGAGCTATGTTGGGCACAGAAAAGCTGAAACAGGAGTCTGCTTCCTGACCCCCATGCACCACTGGGACTCTTTTGGAAAAGCAACGTGAATTTGCAGAGCTAGGGTATCTGTCCTGCGTTTTTTCTGGCCTAATATGTTCTCTTTGCATCAGTTTACTGACCATCGATTCTGGTTATACTTGTTTATATGAGTTCTTATCTAAGAAGAGCTCTTCTAGAATAATTCATGCATGATACACACATTGAACATGAACAAGCATATGCTAGCTGTGAGGATGCAAGGATCCAAGATCTGTGGCATCTCCTGTAGTGTAAAATGGCCAAGAAAGTAGAATCACATGTTTTGTGAGAGGCAAGTGCCAAGGGTGTATGCTAGCACCAGAGGAGGAGTACCTTTAACAATCTGTGTGTATTCATTTACAGAGAGGGAGCTTTCTATAGCGGGGGACAAGACTTGAACTGTGAAGGACATGTGGGATTTAGATAGGTGAAGAAAGGGGTGGGTAGAGGTCATCTTAAAAGGAAGAGACAAATAGAATATGCCAGAAAAAGGTATGAGTCAGCCATAATTACATTTTTCACTTATTAAAAAAATCACTTAGAAAGTGATGTATTTTATGTAGATGTGGGGAGAGGTCAGGGTGAAGCTACAGAAATTAAAGGAGTATTGAACTTGTCTTTGTGTATACATGATCTGTGGGAGAGACTCTGGGAATGTCCATGAAGGGACAGATTCTTGAGGAGTCAAGGTGAAAATCTTCAAAATTAGTGACTAATTGAATGTGAGTGAGAGGGTGGAGTCTAGAATAATTCCTAATCAAAATATCTGGAACACAGAAAAAGGGTAAAATTTAGGAGTTAAGATGATGATACTAAGTTAGCTACGTTGAGTCTGAAATACCTGTGGGATATCCTGGAATTGATCTAGTCTAGTAGGGAGCTGTGCATTTGGGTTTAGAGAGTTTTGCATATAAGAGAGAGATGAATCCATGGTTTGAATGAGGCCACCAGAAATCATTTTCTGTCAGGGTAGAGCTACCAAGACACACAGTCTTGGGAAATACGTTCAAGAGAAGAAAAGAAATCAGCATATGATACTGAGACAGATGGCCAGAGAGGCAAGAGAAAAGTGAGGAGAGGATTTTATCAGAAAAGCCGAGAGAAGAAGCTTCAATAAGAAGGGCGTGGTTAATGCTGATGGATGTTACATGACAGAAGTGGCATGACATTACTGAACTGTTTCATCCTGTGTTGGGGATAGAAGCCAGATTGTGGTATGTGGAAAAGCACATGGATAAGCATGTCACCCAAAGCAACACCAACAGGAAAACATACAGCCCTCAAGACTGAAAATAAATTCATTAGTCATTCTTATTAGGACATTTGAAAGAGAGTAATAAAATAAATCATGATAAATAGGAAGGATGGAATTAAGTTTCTGTGATAAATTAGGAAACAGAAAAAGCAGAATTGTTTATTTGTTGAAAAGATAAACAAAATTGACAAATTTCTAGCAAGTCTAATTAAGAAAAAAATTTTTTAAAACTAGCATCAAAAATTAGAGCCATTCCACAGATAAGAATTAAAACTTCTTAGAGAATACATATGGAGTTTTATGCTAATAATCTGAAAATCTGAATAAGAAGAATCAGTTTTAAGTTAATATAAAGCGATGAAAAAAGAGTCAAAAAGCAGTGGAAAGTTTGAATATATCTGGGGAGGAAAGAAAAGTTATGAAAGTCCATGTTGCTAGGTCTAGTTCTGGTTATACAAAGAGCTTCATTGATAACTATGAGAAAAGATGCTTCTCCAGAACACGGAAAAATGTAGGAAGCTTCCAGTTCCTTCGGTGGTATAACACTGATATAACAACCTTGTAAAGATAGTACAATAGTGAAAACCACCAACCACTTTTTAAATTTTAAAACTTAAAGATCCAGTATTAAGGTCAAGTATGGTTTATTACATAAACACAGTAATATTTCAGTGTTACACATATATTTATTTGAGTCAGAGTCTCATTCTGTTGCCCCACTGGAGTGCGGGGACACGATCACAGTTTACTGCAGCCTTGACCTCCTTAGGCTCAGGTGATCCTTCCACTTCAGCCTCCCTTGTTGCTGGGAGTACTGGCATGTACCACAATGCCTGGTGTAATAGAAAGATAAAGAAATGAGATTTAAATATTTCAAAGGAGAAGACATTAGATTATGTATGGATGCTATGCCTGTCTACTTCAAAACCCCGGGAGAATCAACTGAAAATCTGTAGAACCAGAAAATGAATTTTAGTAAGGTAGTTGGTAAAAAGATCAAAGATAATTTTTTTGCACACTGGCTCACAAGGTGCTCAGTAAGTCCTAGTGACTCGAGTAACTGGCTCAGTGCATTTCCTGCCAGCCTCCATTCCTTCACTTGCCATTGGCTTTACATCTCTTGCACTCTTGGCATTTGACTACAGTCGCTCTGCAAAACCACCTTGAATCAGTGCAGTTTTTCAGTTTCTCCTATGTGTACTATGACTGCTGAGCACTGCTGAGGAAAACTGTATAACTGTACAAAATAGGAGTCGCTAAAACCCTTCGTCCCCAGCGTCTGCCAAGATTTCCTGGATGTCTAGCGTGCTCAACGTCCTCAGGTGGCCACTCACATTCCCTTTGCTGTCGTCACCTGTTTCCTCACGTCTAGTGTCCTGCCTCCTATGTGAAAAAGTGCCAACCCTTGCTAAAACTAGACAATGGACATTTTTTAAAACTTTGCCAATATGAGGAGCCAAAAAAGTATTTTGCTTTTCTCATGTGGGTTTCTGTGATTCTAGTGAGAATGAACATTTTAAGTGACTTGCTTGTCAAGTCCTTTGCCATTTTTCTGCTGGGTTGTGTCTTGTTCTTGTTCACTGGATATTCTTTATGCACTGAAAATGTTCTCTGCCATATGTATTGCAGGCATTTTCTCCACGTTAACACTTGCCTTTAAATTTTGCCTGTGGTATTTTATGGTGCATCAGCTTTTTAAGTTTTGCATAGTAAAATATAAAGTTTTTTTTTTCTTTTATAGTTTCTCTCTTGGGAACATGCCATGCTTGAAAACTTTCCCACAGGAAAATGCATTTAGAATTTAATATATGATAAGGTTAGCATCTATTAGTGGGAAAATGGTAGGTTTCTTAATAAATTCATTTGGATGTATTTTCTTAGCTGTTTCTATGGTTTTACTTTTACAACAAATTTTGACTCTACCTGAAGTTTATTTTTGTCTATACTATACTGCAAAGTTAGGATCTTATTCTTTGCCAAGTGGTTATTCGTTTATTTTGTTTGATTCTCCTCAATACTAAATTTCTTTATGTTTTATTACTCATGTAAAAGTTAAAATGAAATTTGCAATAGAATAGGGAACTATGCAGTAGACCCTTGAATAACATCAGAGTTAGGAGCTTGGATCCTTGTGCAGTCCAAGTCTGCATATAACTTTTGACTCCCCCAAAGCAACTAATAAGCCTTAATGATAACACAGGCAGTCAGGTAACACATATTTCCCATGTTATGTTTGCATACTGTATTCTTACAATAAAGCAAGCTAGAGAAAAGAAAATGCTATTAAGAAAATCACATTCATTAAGTGGGTTGTCATCACCTTCGCTTTGAGTAGGCTGAGGAAGAGGGGCAGAGGAGGGCTTGGTCTTGCCATTCCAGGGGATGGCAGAGGCAGAAGGAAAACAGTGTGAAAGTGACCTATATCTGTTGTTCAAGGGTCATCTGTCATGCACAGTAGAGGCAACTTTTAAGGATGACATATTCCAGTCAAAACCTTAAAGAGTGAAAACAGGAGAAGAATTTATTGTAATGTGAATATGTTAAATACACATCAGTACTGCAGCTTATCTGAGTTTATAGCAGTGACTGGATCCTGATCATTGTTGTTTTGTTGTCATCATTATTCAAAATTGAATCCTGGATGTTTTTCCCAAATATGAATTGAGACATATTTAGAGATACTTTAACATTAAGTTGAGATTGTTTTAGAATACTCTTTATACCTTTATATGTTCCTTTTATATCTACAATCATTTCAGGCTTTTTTCAAGAATGTCTTCTTTTCATCAAATTTTAATGCTCTGTACTTCATATTAATTATATCTTTTCCCTATTCTCCTTCTTGTAAACCATTTCACTTCCTCTAAAAAGATTCCAACCTTATGAAGAAAACACTTAATGCAGAATGTTCTTCATTAGCAAAGCACCCAAGTTGAAATTTTTGTTAATAGAGTTTTAAGTGAATAATAGAATTTTAAGTTAATTAGGAAGAGTAGCTTTTAAAATAAAA